CACCAGCCAAGAGATTGACACCTCGTTGGGAACATCATGTTTAAAAAGTGTGGGAGCACAATCTGGCGAGTACTTCACTGTGAACACTTCACACCTGTCACTCAGAGGACTGCTGGAGACCAAGCACCTGCTCAGCCTCAAGCATGTGTGGGCCCTGTGGTGCCTGTCATCAGGGACTGCATCCACGCGATGTGGAGGTATTGGAACAACAGATAGGTAATTGAGAGGCAATAGTCCTTATTGCCCACAGACTGCAACACTGTAGCTACACCATGGGGACCCAGCTGCCTCAAACATGCAATCATCTGGCTGCCTCCACGGCAGGTTGGTAGCTGCCATGGAGAGGCAGAGTCAGCAGTTTCAGGGGCTGTTGCAGAGGAACTTAATCACCCCAGCCTTTTGTCATCGGGACTTGAGTGACCCACTTAAGTGACCTAGCCAGAAAGCCTTGGACAAGAGCGCCCAGCTCCTGATTCAGCTCTCAGCCATGTTAGTCCTAAGCTCTGGCAAGCCCCTATGGACCTACAGGACTAACAATGGCCCAACACCTCCTCCCCACCGTTCAGAGACAGGGACTCCCTGAATGAGATCACCCTGACCAGAGACCTGACGAAATCCCAGGACTGGTAGAGGAGGCTGCCCTTGACTCACTGTCCACGATCTCTGACAAATGAGCGCCTCCATGAACTCAGTGAGAACCACTCCCCTAAGACTTTAAGATGGCTGCAAACACACTACATGCTTTACATATAGTGTGTTTGCCACATAAGCTGTGAGATTGACGTAGCACATATATTGCAAGCTGTATGCCCCCTTGTCGAGGACTGCTGACCAACAAGAGAAACTGCCACATTTTGTGAGTGCACAAGTAGGCATGGCACAGCAAGGCAAAGGTTATGTGAGCACCAAGGTAATTTCTAAATGAGTGAGCACTAAGAGAGCAAGCGAGCAGCGCTGAGATGCAGCCTAATCCAATCCATGACCTGGGTCCCTCTCTGTACATGCAAACCATTCTTTGGTGTATTGGTGCAGATTCGATGGGCTGAATGACCTCTTTTTGCACTGTAGGGATTCTGTGACTCAATGATTCTCTGATTCAAAGTCACATCTGAATACCCTTAAACACACATCAAACTATTAGATTATACCATTGTTTCCCAAAGTGGAGGAGTCAATTACTAGGGTACAGGGGTTCAAGGTGCGGGGTGATGAAGTTTAAAAGAGATGTGCGAGGAAAGTTTTTCACACAAAGGATCGTGAGTGCCTGGACCATGCTGCTAGAGGTGGTGGAAGCAGACACAACAGCATGAATACATGAATAGGAAGGGAATAGGGAGATATAGATCCTGTAAGTGAAGACAGTTTTAGTGTGGAAGGGTAAAATATGTTGGCGCAGACTTGGAGGGCCGAAGGGCCTGTTCCTGTGCTTTATTGTTCTTTATTCTTTGTTATTTGTTCTTACGCTGAATTAAATACTTCAGAGATTAACAAAGTTCTTTATTGTGGTTAATCATCTATGAAGATTGCCTGACTAGATTCCATGGCAGTGTAAATTGTGCATGGTTTGTGAGAATAAATGAGTGCACGAGACCAAATCATTTTGTTCCACAATTTCTACACAGCAAAAGATTTAAAATTGTTTTTTATTGTTGTTTAAAGAAAAACAATATTGTCATGTATTGGCTGAGATTAGCTTGAATGAGGCCTCAGTTGTATCCTCATTCCACTGCATCATATGCTGTCGTTCTTATTCAACAGCTCCATGGTTTTGTGGATTATTGATTTTTTTAAGATGAAACCTTCTTCCTGAACTTCCCTGGAATGATTCTGAGGCATAGAAGTTCAGCACCAAGGTAACAAACAGCTCCATAGGCATTGGTGACCACTGCTTAAAGTCATCCTCCATCGCAACACACATGTCAATGAATATCTCCCTAGAGAAGTGCAGCCTTTGCTGATGCTGCTGCAGCAACATTTACAGAAAGCTGTACCTATGACAGTAGGCCTGCTGCTTTTATGTGAGTGCAGGAGGCTGATTATGCGCTCTTCTGTACCATCCTCATCTGTGCTCCCTTCCAGGCTCATGCACTGTGGGTGTTGAGGCCAGCTTCTGGCACCTGGAGCTTTCTTTCATATTCCTCCTCGCTGAAGGTCTCAATAACTGACTGAATCAGACCCATAACAAAAAGCTGAATAACTAAATATCTACCAACTCCCAAACCCCCCTTAATCTTCACATACAAATGTTAAGTCAACAAGAATAATCAGAATACCTCCACTGTGCCACCAAGTGTGTTTTGGTACAATGTTACTCTGCATCCAGTGTAACCCACGCTGTCAAAGCAGATTTATCATTTGCAATGCCTGCCATAATGGTTTTGATGCTAAGCACCCATCTTGTTAGAAATGGCAAGGCTTTAAAGCTCTGTTGTTCCTGTGCACCTCTCATAAAATCTAAAACAGCTCATAAAATGGAAGTGAAAACTCCTCCCACCCAGCCCGGCCATATTCCACCCTATCCTGTTTCCAGTGCCTTCTGTCGTGATATTTTCAGCCCTCCTGTTTCCCACCTTGTCACCAACATACAAGTAAAACTTTGGCTATCATCTCCCACATTACTGACAATAAAACAGACATTAAATAAAGGCTGTTCTTACCAATTTCAACTGATCAAAAATTACTAAGAATTGCAATAGTTCTCAGTTTAAAGAAATTTTGAAGATTGTATTGATCTTAGCATTTTTTGTACTTATTTTTTATGTCTTGATTGCATGCAGAATTAGCTCTGCCCTCTCCCCACTTCACTGTTTGCATCATTCATGAAATGCTATCCATAAAAACCACATAATGCAAAAAAATCAGAAACTAACGTCACCAGTTTTCAGTTTATTCACATAATGCCATGAAGAAATTGCAGACTTTGAAGATTTACATTCTACTATTCTTCACTGAATGACAGAAATACTGTGCACAGTATTCTAAAATAAAACAATTTTCAAATGTGAAGGCGTGGAGCTGGATGAACACAGCAGGTCAAACAGCATCAGAGGAGCAGGAAAGCTGATGTTTTGGGCCTAGACGAAGAAGGGTCTCAGCCCAAAACGTCAGCTTTCCTGCTCCTCTGATGTTGCTTAACCTGCTGTGTTCATCCAGCTCTACACCTTGTTATCTCAGATTCTCTAGCATCTGCAATTCCTACTACCCATTCAAATGTGAAGGCTCAGCTTTTCAAAGCTTGCGATTTGATCCGTTTCATTAACAAAGCTGATTCTTGTGATTTGTTCCCTTTGAGGCTGTTTGTTTTTTCTTCTGCTTAACATGAAGCAGTAGACTCACAAGAATATGGTTCGTACATCAGACTAGAACATAATAAAGATAATCAATGCCTGGAAGTTCTAAGTGATAAATAGACAAGAATGTGTTTTACTTAGACATTTCTGGCATTGTTTGTTCTTATTATTTCCTCTAAATAGAAAACAGCCAGCAATTTCACTCTCTTTCCGTGTATCAGTCTACTGTCTCCCAGAGAATGTGGAATTAACCATTAACAATTCATGAAAGCAAAGGAAACTAAAGAAGTTAAATCATGAATTCCTACTTATTAAATATAGTTTGCGCAAGTTTCAGTTGCATCTTTGATACCCACAGAAACACAAAAGGACAGAATTCTGAATGCATCATTCTGTTGTCATTTTGTTAACTATAGTAACTATATTTATTGTAGCCTGCTCCAGTTCCATTCCTTATTTTGAGCTATGTAATGTCTCACAATCAGAAATATACCACGTAGCAGTTCTGAATGAAAAAAGTTGCAATATTAACACTTCTTTAGATGAGTTGCTGAGGTCCTGCATCCCACTGTGACTGGTTTTAATAAGAATTATCTCTTCTAAATGTTGCTTACACCCAACAGCCAGGAAAACTACAGCTAGTTCTTTTTTAAAAAGAAAAAGTGCAGTTATTTAAAATAAATTATACTTTCACCAGAAATTATTCTCTCACCTTCGCAGGAATTTGACAAGAAGCCATTTCTGATTATGTAACTTTGGTGAGATAAAAGTAGCGCTCACAACTCATTTCTCCATTTTTATTCTTTTAGAAATGCGTAAAAGACAACAGAAATCTATGACTTTTATCTTTTATCACATTCTATCACAGTGAAAGTGACAGTCTATGACTTTTATCTTTTATCACATTCTATCACAGAGAAAGTGACAGTCAATATGATTTCAATATGATTTCAAATCACAATGTGGATTTTTGTAGAACATATACAAATTATTTTCCTGAATGGATTTTGATATCATACTCATTTTAAAAGTTATTATGAAATGATAATTGCAAATAATTCACAGAACATTTCAACAGTATACAAAACATTATTTAGGATGTTTGTATTAGATATCTCTCAAGAAATTAATTCTACAGAGGACTTCAATTTACAAAAAAATTAAGAGCTTGGTTGAGACCATTGTATTTGATGGTGAATTGAGGAAAGGGAATACATATTAACTACTGTCTGAAATTGTGGCTTCCCCCGAGGTTAGGACAGTGTATTAAGGGTTGGGACATGGAATCGAGGTTGATCATTTACATTATTAATTCATCTTTGGTTCAGACTGTGCCAAATCAAAATATATTTTTTAAAAAAGCTTGTGGTTGAAGGATGAGGCTTAAATGAAATTGGGACACTAATCTATTTTTAGTAGCAAATGAAATGTAGTGTAGGTTTACAAATACCCATGAGATTGAATCAGTGGATAAAAATTCCCTTTCCCATATCAATGTATTTTAAGAACACAACTAGGACCAGAAATATTTTTATTAGTTATAAGTGACCGATTGCACAAAGTAATATAATCACTCACAATTGTTATTTCCTGTTTACTTTCACTGTACTACAAAGCAGAAACATTTATTTATTTTCTATTTAAATTTTAGTCAAATAAAGTAAGGTAAACAATAAGTCATTTTAACGACACCTTTAGATTGATCATCATGGAATAGTTAGAATGACTCGGGAGCAGATGTACACTGTACTATTGACTGATGAACATGTTCAATTTTTTTTTGTCTGTCGCGCCAGACCTGATATTGCCCTTTTATTATCACAGCCAAAGGCATTTGATTAAGGATTGTAAACTGGACTTGATGCCATTGTTCAGGAATCCATACAATACAGGATTCAAGCAACAGGACAGCAACCCCAGCAGGTGACAGATGCAATACACCAGCTTGAAGTGCCTGTTAGAGATCAGATTAGCATTGAAGTCGGTTACAAGGTGAAAAATATGCAGAGGCATCCAGCTTACAGTGAAAGCAACAATTACTATGGTCAATTTGTAGAAAACAGTGCGTGATCGTTTCCTCAACCTTGTGATAGATTTTGGTGTTACTGGAACATTATGTGAAATAGCGAGCTCTTCAGATTCCATAGCTTTTGCTTCAAAACATACAGGTACACCTGGTAGAAAGGAAGTGGGTAGTGGCTGTGTACTATCTGAACCATGGATTAGTAACAGATCATTGTGAGTCTTGCCATTATCTTGAAATTTAGTTACAACAGGCATGACACTGGCACACTTCTTGCTGTATCTCTTCTTGTGTTTTCTCAGAAAGGAATAGTTCCATCCTTGCATCTTTGACTGTTGTGCTTGCAACTGTTTCCTAGCTGGTTGCTGTATAGTTAAATTTATCATTTCACTCTCCTCAGATCTCCCTTGTCTGCTTGGCACAGTAGCACTTATTTTTCTGCAAACACTTGCATGACTAATTGTTAGGCAAACTATTGGCAAAATATATTGGATGAATAATAAGGATAAGGTGTAGGCAATTCTGTAAGAATCAGATGGCCATGACTCAATGCATAAGTATTTATTTTTTAAGGAATCCAAGTGGACAGTTTCGCTTAGGTCTATGATTTTATGAAAGATAGGTAATGGTGAACAAATAGTAAATCCAATAATCCACACAGTTCCCATTACCAAATATCCAGTATTTATGGTAAAATGGTTGGATAATGGATTGCTTATCATATGGTACCTAACCATGGCAATTGACATTAGCATGAGCATAGAGACCATGACAGACACACACTGAATAAATGGGACGATATAGCACATGATCTCCCCAAAGATCCATTGGTCTAAAAGAACATATGTCAGTGTAAATGGTGAACAGAACAATAGAATTAAAGTATCAGATAAGGCTAAATTTCCGATCAGAAAATTTATCATTGATTTCTGTTGTAGGTTTTTGCACAGTGCAATTACAACAAAAAAGTTGCCAAGAAGACCGAGAACAGTAATAAGTGTGTAGACTCCAACCAGCAAATATTTTATATCATGAATACTTCCATTATAATCATCCCAAGAAGGGAGTCCCAGTCCATATGCCATAGTGTTGTTCCTATTATCCAAAGTAACAGTGATATTACTTTTGTTTTTGTCTTCAAAATCCATTTTGGGCAGTTGGATTTATAAATATTTAGAAACTAATCTAGTGTTTATAAAAATGCATCTGACACATAACTAGGAAAAGCCTATTAAAATATAAGGTATAAAAGATAATCATTTAGCATCTGAGAAATTGGAAAGCAGGGAAGCTTTAAATTGTCATGAGTCATGTAACTTGGACATCAATGGGTAACAACATCTGATGTATTAGGCGACACCCAAGGCATGTGGTTCCCATTCAATATTATACTATTGCAATGTTTTCAGTGGTAAAAATGCACAGTGGGCATGCACATGAAATACTTCAGGTTCCCAATGTATATCAACAAAGTGTAAATTATAAGTTACACAATTCAGTTACGTCAAATTTGCACCAACTAAGTAATTTAGTTTCAAAATATTAAAATAAAACTCATTGAAAAGTTGAACAACTTGTTTGAAGTTGCAATTTTTGCATTGGTGATTATGTCTTCTGATTCGTGGAGTATTTTATGATCTTCAAAGTAGACGTCTGAAATGAAGTCATGATATGACTTGTTGCTCCACACCAGTGAGGTTGACGGAGTGGCAGGGAATGCTGCTTACTGCTGTCAATCTGTGAGTCGTCAGGCATAATACTTATTCCATGAACTATTCCGTCTCATTGTCTTTTTACAGCATTCCTAACATAGAATATAAGAAAACATATTAGAGGAATGTAACAACTCAATTTTAAAAAACCAAAATAAAAACTGCTAGACTGTAAAAGATATACATGTAATTGAAGTATCCTGCTGAAATCAGAACATCCCAATAGCAAAAGATGGTGCTGAGAAAAGTAACACAAAGCCTGCAAAATTACCAATGAAAGAAATCAACCAATACTACAGAACACCCATGTGAAGCATTGATGTACATTCTGCTGTTCTAATCCATTGTAGGGCAATGCTTGACTCTGCATGATAAATAAAGGGAATTCCCTGTAAATAATTCATCCAATTTTAATATAAGATAACAAGGTGTAGAGCTGGATGAACACAGCAGGCTAAGCAGCATCAGAGGAGCAGGAAAGCTGACGTTTCGGGTCAAGACCCTTCTTCAGAAATGGATCATCCAATTTTAATGTTTGACTCAGTTTAATTATTTTGTAGGAAGCTATGAGCCCATTACATAGCCACAGCTAACTACGTTTAAGAATTTGGGAACAAATAATTTTATTTTTGGAAGCTAGTTGGGCACAGCATGAAAAATTGGGATAACATCACTTGTTTGCAAAAAAGAACAGGGAGTTTTTATAGCATCAACATTACAACATATCTGCAAGAATAGATTAATTGATCATGAACTACATTATAGATGTAATAGGACTTTACTGTGTACAAATTTGATTATGTGTTTGCTTGTATTATCATTGTCAATATCCCATAAGGTAATTCACGTCATATGGTGTTTGTTCAGGCATTTCTGAGTTACTTAATGAGGTGGTATACAAAATTTGATCTTTCTTCATATAACAGAGTTGAACTGATTATCACTTCTGAACGTTTAGAACTTCTTTTTGCTGCTGGTGAAACCATGCAGTGATGCTGCAAGGTGTAGCAGCAGATAGCAAAATATGACCATAGTAATATTAATATTAAATTTTTAATTCCTCATTGCACAGCTGTGACATTAATTTTACAGCAATTAAAGGTTACAGTACATTTAGTTGTCTGAATTGCTGTGTTTATTGTGCAGTAATTAGCACTGTACTGTTTGCATTTTTGTATGATAAACATTTCACTCTGATCCCTTATTGTAATTTTTTGTATCCAGTGAACATCTATCATCTAGATAACTTGTAGATAATTTTAGGTTGACTGAGCAAATTCTCTCATCACCAGTGAGAAATGTAAAATCTAAATATTTTAACAAGTCAAGCCAGTACAAAACCAAATTCCCCTATTTGATTTTTTAAAATATATATGCAACTGTTTTGTTATTTTTACTTTTTTGTGTATTATTCCTAACGAAATATTTTATCCAAATGTACAACTGAATACCATTTGGGAAAGTGAAGTTTAGGAGAAACTCAAAGAAACTTTCTCGCACAAAACTATTATATTTGATTGAATTCAAAGCTGCAAAGTTTATTAAAATGAATAGAACACTGAAATTCAAGTGGCTTCTGCTGCTCAGTGATATCACTGGGATAACTCTGGTTAAAAAGAGTCCCAAAATGCAATACTGGTAGGAATGTTAGGGATAAGTTTTTAAACATGTAACATATATAAATTCATTTTCATTTTTTGAGTGAAAAAACGGTACAACTACTGTGGCCTGGTGGGATGGTATCGGATAACACAAAATATTCAAAGTCAGAAGTCACACGACATCAGGTTATACTCCAAAACGTTTTTTTGAAATCACAAGCTTTTTGAGCACTGCTTCTTCATCAAGTGAACTGAAGGGAAGCATACATGCACAGAATTTATAGGCAGAAAAATCAAAAGGTAATACAAATGGTGTGAGTGGAGTGTTGACAGGGTGAATTACAAGTCTCTGCAGGTGATCAAAAGTATCAGACGATGTGAGTAAAGTGTCACCAGATAAATAGCAAGTGAAGGGATGACCTATGCTCTGATTAATTGAAGCAGAGAGATAATTACAAAAAATTAAAAGTAAGATGGAGCTGGAGACAAACCAAATGGCTGGAATAACATTATAGGGATATGAGTCGCATTCCGAAGGTCTAACCAAAGTAACAAATAATCCAAAACTGTACAAACTAATTAAGGTGGAGAGATCATAACATATTATCAAGGTGATGGCGTCAAAACAGAACAGTAAGGGAGAATTTATAAATACAGAACAGTATGGTGGGGTTACATGTAAAGCAACATGAACCCAATATCACGATTGAGACCGCCTTCATGGGTACGGAACTTGACTATCAGTTTCTGCTTGGCAATTCTGCATTGTTGTGTGTCTCCAAGGCTGCCTTGGAGGAGGCTTACGCAAAGTTCGGAGGCTGAATGCCCTTGACTGCTGAAGTGTTCCCCGACTGGGAGGGAACATTCCTGTCTGGCGATTGTTTTGCAGTGTCCATTTATCTGTTGTCATAGCATCTGCATGGTGTCACCAATATACCAGGGCATCCTTGCCTGCAGCTTATGAGGCTGACAACATTGGTTGAGTCATATGACTACCTGCCATGTACCTGGTGGGTGGTGTTCCCACGTGTGATGGTAGTATCCATGTCAATCATCTGGCATGTCTTGCAGAGGTGACCGTGGCAGGGTTGTGTGGCATTGTGGTTGCTGTCATCCTGAAGGTTGGGTAGTTTTCTGCGAACAATAGTTTGTTTACGATTTGGTGGTTGTTTAAAGGTGAAAAGTGGAGGCATAGGGATGACGGCATCGCTGCAACAGCCTCAGTTCTCAACATCAACAGCTGCCATTCCAGACACCATCCTACAACTCATCCACTTCATCCTCGACCACAACGTCTTCACCTTCAACAGCCGGCTGTTCATCCAGACACACGAAACAGCCATGGGGACAAAACCTGCACCTCAATACGCCAACATTTTCGTGCATAAGTTCCAGCAAGACCTCTTTGCTGCACAGGACCTCCAACCAATGCTATACCCTAGATACGTCAATAACATTTTCTTCCTTTGGACTCATGATCACAAGTCACTAAAATAACTACACAACATTCCACCATCAGACTTACCATGGACTACTCTTCAGAATCAGTCTTATTCTTGGACACATGAATCTCCATCAAGGACAGACTTCTCTAGCTTCCACCCTAAACATGTTAAAGAAGCCATCCCCTATGGACAAGTCCTGCAAATACACAGGATCTGCTCAGATGAGGAGGAACATGATGGACACCTAAAGATGCTGAAAGATGCCCTCATAAGAACGGATACGATGCTCAACTCATTGATTGTCAGTTCCAACATACCATAGTGAAAAACCACAATGACCTCCTCAGAAGACATCCAGTCTTTGTCATCCAGTACTTCACCAGAGTGGACAAACTATGCCATGTTCTTCGCAGCCATCAACATGTCATCGATGACAATGGACATCTCACCAAGGTCATCCCTACGCCTCCACTTCTCGCCTTCAAACAACTACCAAAACTTAAACAGACCATCACTTGCAGAAACTATCTAGCCTTCAGGACAACAGCGACCACAAGCCCTGCCATGGCAACCGCTGCAAGACATGTCAGATCATCAACACGGATACTACCATCATATGTGGGAACACCACCCGCCACTTACTCATGTGGCTCAACCAATATTGTCTACATTGTAAGCTGCAGGCAAGAAAGCCCTGAGGCATGGTATTGTTGGCAAGACCAAGCAGATGCTATGACAACAGATGAGGAGACACCGCAAAACAATCGCCAGACAAGAATGTCCCCTCCCAGTTGGGGAAGACTTCAGTGGTCGAGGACTTTCAGCCCCCAATCTTTGGGTAAGCATCCTGCAAGGAAGCCTTGGAAACACACAACAACGCAGAATCCCCTAGCAGCAACTGAAAGCCAAGTTACGTACCCATGAAGACGGTGTAAACTGTGATCTTGGGTTCATGTTGCGCTACATGTAACCCCAGCATACTGTTCTGCATTTGTAAAGTTTTCCTTACGGTACTGTTTTCATCACCTTGATAATTTGTTATGATTTCTCTATCTTAACTAGTTTGTACAGTTTTGGATTACTTGTTACTTTGGTTAGACCCTCGCCATGCGACTCTTAACCTATCATGTTATTCTACCCATTTGGTTTGTCTCCAGCTCCATCTTATTTTTAATTTTTTGTCATCTCTCTGCCTCAATTAATCGGATCATAGGTCATCCCTTCACTTGCTATTCAGCTGTTGACACTTTACTCACACCATCTGACACATTTGATCACCTGCAGAGATTTGTTATTCTGCCTGTCAACACTCCTGCTGTTGTGTTACTTCTGATTTTGTCCACCCGAGTCCAACACCAGCACCTCCACATCATTAAACAAACTAAGAATGAACAGAAAGGTTGGATGCACAGTACAGTACAAGTGCAGAAGAAAGTGGTTACTGTGAAAGATGAGTGGAGCAAAATGACCCAGCTCTCCAAGTCTATTGTGATAGTGAAGATACTTATAAACGAGGGAACAATCTAATGGCTCTCTTATAAGATTTTCCAGGATCTATAATAATCAGCATGATATTGTACTCTAAATAGAGGCTAACCGAGGGCTTGAACAAAAACATTTAATATGTTTTGTTTCATATTACATTAACATTACAATATATCCTCATACATCACTTGCTTTTGTAGTTATTTTCACGAGTTGTTTCCTTCTGTTGTCACTATGCCATGCAGTGTTTGGGCCTAAAATGTTGGCTACTTTTTTGCCCTTCCACAGTGCATGTGCACAGACACAACGCAGAGTTTACTCTACAACTGAATTTCCTATTATTAAAAAGCTGAACCATTGCACTCCACTTTCACACAACAAAATTCTTCAGATCAGTATTTCAATTTATGATGGATTTCAGGCTAAGAGCTACTTTCTAGATTCTGCTTCAGTGTCCAGTGTGGATTACTAAGGTTTCTCATGAATCAATGAGAAAATAGAATTTTTGTCTTGCAAAGTTAATGAATTACAACATGGTAATTGATTTTGCAAGAGAG